ACACACACACATACATACTCTCAGACTTTATTTGGGTGTTTGTTGTGAGTGTAATTGTACAAGTATACAGCACAGTGTTGAATGACATAAGATGCCCTGTAAGAGTATCAGATGGAGGCTGCGCCCCACACACACAGCACTGTACCGTACTGTACTGTACTGTTCGAGCTGTTTGTGATGGTCAGTAGTTGATATGAGGTGCAGACTGACTCGCGCGCTGCAGTACTCTCCTGCACTCACTGTCCAGTTTCCTCACACGGCAGGTCATTCAGATTGATGTGCGTGTGCTGCAGCGTAGCATACACAAACTTTGGAGAAAGAAGCAATGTGCAGGTTTTAAACTACTGCAAAATGAATATGATGTATTTGTAAGCAACAAATGTTTTGAATAACACTTTTTTTTTTCTCTCTCTCTCTCTCTCTTTACCCCCCAATTGCAGTGCCTCTGGAGCAAGTGTGGTTGCCATTGATAATAAAATAGAGCAAGCAATGGTAAGTTTTTGATTTTGAATATAATCAAAAATCAAATCTTAAAATTAAAAAAATATATATATACACACTGTGTGTGTGTGTATATCAAAATTCTGCTGATTTGCAAAAAACAAACATTCTGATTTGACTATGCATTCAAAATCATTAGTTCATTATTACTTCAAAAATATCACTAAAAACTTTCCATGTTTTTTTTTTTCACAAAATAAGAATGAAATTTTTCAAATTACATGTCAACTTCAATGCACTCTTCAAAATAACATGCTGTCACGTGTAAAAATTTTTAATGACAAAAAGGATATGTAAATGTGTAATTTACCTTACAATCTGCAAAAAAGTTGAAAAATTTTCAAATACAAATAATTAAACGTCAAAGAACTTTACATAAACACAAGACATTAGCTTTTTAATCTGTAGTTTTCTGTAGTAAAACAAATGTATCAGAAAATATTTGACTCATGTTTGCATTTTCTTCTAACCTTAAAAATCAGGATTAGGCATAAAATATTGTCTTCAGAATCATTCATACATTGAAAATTGGCTGAGAATTGAACAAATAGTTGTAATCTGGCAGAGGAATCTCAGAGATCTCCTCTCATCTTTATTGCAGTTTTTCTGCTGATTAAGGGATAATACAAGACAGCTTGACATTTGTCGCCCTACAAGACGTTACAAGATTAAGACGTTACACCCTACAAATGATTGTTGAAAGCAAAATGCTACGAAATACGTATTTTGTGAGAGAGTGTGACAAGCTAGAGGAAAACAGGCCGTTTTTTTTTTAATCAGCACCCCGAAATTATTAAGAAGTATTGGATTTCATTCAGCAAATATGATGCAGGGCAGTGCAATAGACAGATGTTGAATTGGTGCCATTTTGTACTGTTTTCTGAAATTATGTCATGTTTCGGCACCGTCACGCAGGATTTAGTGAAAAGCCATCTGATGTATGCTGTGCGGGAGGAGGTGGAGGTGTTGAAGGAGCAAATCAAGGAGCTCTACGAGAGAAACTCTGTGCTGGAGCGAGAGAACGCAGTGCTCAAATCTCTGGCCAACAGCGAGCAGCTCTCTCAGCTCACCGTCCAATCCAACTCCAACCCGGGCCAAGCCCAGCCCCAACCTCAGCCTTACCTTCAGCTGGACGTCAACGAGACCGTGGACTCCCTGCCACGAGAATCACAGCCCAGCGTCACCTCCGCCTGAAGCCTGTGCGAACGACGCATGTATCATCACAACAGCAGAAAACCCATCTCGTTCGCATGCTGTCCGCCATCGCGACGGATGACCGAAACGAGAGGCGGTTTCTGCTCGGCCGCAACACGCTGGCATTCCTGCGGACTCGATTGGGGTCCCGTTTGGCCCCTTCCCCCCGGATGAGGTGGAGAGTTTGTGAAGAGAGTTATTTTTTTAATAAAGAGAATCCAGCCATGAAAAGAGTGTATTTTTTAGTGTTGCAGTTTTCATGTGAGAAGCCAGAGTCTATTTTCAGAGCCACCGCACTTCGTGATTTTGATTCACCAGCCAGTTCAATTGTACTGTTTGTTATTTATTATAGGGCTGCTATTTTCAGAGAGGAACAATGTCTACAGAACCTTTCAATCCGACAGCAACTGGTCATCAAATCGAGCAGCAGTCTTACTATATCAATCATCAATGCAAGCGTAGCAGTGGGTGGAGTGTAAACACTAAAAGCAACGTTCCTCTGTGGATTAAGAATGTGAACCTGGCGTTGAATGTACATTTTGTATAGTGTAAAGATAAAGAGCGTAACAAGTTTGTACAGGTTTGTGGGCGAAGATCTAAACGGAATCCTCGATGAAGAAAGCTTCAGTTCTGTTGCTAGTAGGATGTTGGAAAAAGAAGTCAGTTGCCATATTCTCCTGCCCGCTACCCTGACGTCTCGTATGTTTCTGGGGTCGGGAAGGGGATTTAAAAGAAAGAAAAAAACTGAAGTTGTTCAACCTACTTTGTAACCAAAGATGCAAAGCTGTGTAATTCATTCTTTTTTTTTCATTATGCACACTCTGTACATTTTTTTTAATTGTTCCTCACAACAAACTTTTTGTTGCTTTTAGGTATGTTCTGCATGATCTGCAAAAGTCAAACCACTTTCTTACCTCATTTGTATTGGGCACTCATATTGTAAGCAGTCTGTGAATAGTGTCAGCGGGGGAAGGAGATATGGAGGTGATGGTGAGGAGATAAAACAGACTAGTGTGTGACGCACTAGCCACAAAAAATGAAGTGAGCCATGTTTCATTCATTTAAATGGTGTTTGAATTTCATATGCCAATAGTTTTGTTACATTGCAAATTTTAATGTATTTAAATAAATGCAATATTCAAATTACAAAACTGCTCGGGAGTATTTGTGTGAAATTGTCTGCGATACTCTTGTTTCTGCACCATGATAATTATTTTCGCACATGATTTTGTCGTAGGCAGTGACTTCCCCAGGAAGCAAGACGGATCTACCTTGATGTGCGGCTGCAACACGTACGGTTCATAAACATACCGTGATATTTTAAGAATACAACATATACAATTTCAGGCACAAAAAAAGACCCCGATTAATTGAGAAGAGTGAACTTGAATTAAAGGATAAAATGGTTATTAAATACAAGTTTTTAGCCATCATACCAGATTTATGAGGTATATAACCCACTATAAAAGACTGTCACAAAACTGGGTACAAACTTTCTGCAACTTACCCCAGTCTGTTACATAGCAGAAGCATGCTAAAGTACTTTTCAACTAAATAGAGATGAACCACTATTAAAATTAAATATATAAAAATAAGCATTTCAAACTAATCATAGTAAGGCATAAGGGACAAAAAAAAAAATAATTTAAAGGGTTAGTTCACCCAAAAATGAAAATTCTGTCATTAATTACTCACCCTCATGTTGTTCCAAACCCGTAAGACCTTCGTTCATCTTTGGAACACAATTTAAGATATTTTTGATGAAATCTGAGGGCTCTCTGACCCTCCCATAGACAGCAAGGTAACTACCACGTTCAAGGTCCAGAAAAGTACCAAGATGATCGACAAAGTAGTCCGTGTGACATCAGTGGTTCAACTAAAGTTATGAAGCTATGAGAATACTTTTTTGCGCAAAGAAAACAGAAATAACGACTTTATTCCACATTTTCGTCTCTACTGCGTCACTTTGGACGCGTGTTCACGACAGTATCACGACGCGAGCGTGTGGCGGCGCTGACCCAGATCCGGCGT